CCCCCCCCCTCAGGACTCAGCCGTCACCGAGCTTCCACTAATTAATCCCCACAGCCGACAGTGTTGCCGTCACCGTCTGGGGCAGCGCAGAAGGCGCGATCACCATCATCGCTGCCTCGATACCCGTTCTCCGCGGCCTCCTTCGGTGCGAGGGGGACCATTCGGCCGGCCAATTCGATACAAACGATCAGTACCGACTCAATACCACGAGCTCCCAGAGCTTCTCGGCGGTTCCGAGGAAAGGCGATAGATTGGGTGTGGGCACTTACGCAGCATAACGAATTGTACGATTATGATGAAGCGATTGCATTTATTACGGCTGACGTTTTCGAGCTAAGCCTTTGGTGTTCTGGCAGGCGAGGCCTGAGGCGTTTTGGAGTTTTCTCCGACAATGGGGCTCGCGCTGGTAAGCGTGTTTATTGCGGTTGATAGGATCCTAGCGGCAATTTGGAGTGGTATAGCTCGAGATTTGCGACGGATGTGGGCCGGTGAATGGATGGAACTTGCCCGGTAACGATTGTCATTTTGTTATCAGAGTTGGTTTTGTCCAAGGAGACTTGTAGCTTAGCCGACGAGTGTATTCCGGGTCCGGTCCCGGTGGCTGAGAATGTCATCCGGTGCACATTACCTGCTATGTATTATGATGCCTAGGTAGCTTGTCACAGCTTCGCGTGAAATATAGGCCTTGCGTTAGGTTCGTAGAAGAACCGTGTGTAACTCTTGTCAGGTGGTGAGAAAGATGCTTGGTGACCATCTTCTACCCCCACTTCGTACCTCAACTGCCTGCCTGAAACTACTCAGCAACAAGAAGGAAAGGCGCTGTCCGTGCGAGGTGTCAGGGGGAGAGGGGTTACGAAGACGACGTCGACGTGGCTAAATCGACGGTGCAGCCTGTCTATTGTAACGGTGCAAACCTCAACACGGCAAGAGACAAGTCAATCATCTCCACAACAATTCTTGGCTGTAACCTTGATCAAAGTACCTCTTCCTCTGCTCTCCATGTATATACCTCCCTAACCGACAACCATTGTGACCCGTCACACGAAGGCATTGAATTACATGACTCCCAACATCGCAAATCACAAGTGTAACGCCTCGCGCTAAATCGCCGAAAAGCACCATTAAGGCTCCACCATTAAGGCTCAATTGAATAAACATGACTCCCAGCATCACGATCGTGAACCAATGCATTGGCGTGATACGCCGGCTACAATGGATAGTTATTAGATCGGTACATGGAGAGCACAAGAGGGACTTTTGATCAAGGTTGCGGCCAAGAGTTGGTGTGGAGGTCTCTAGCCGTGTTTAGATTTGCACCGTCACAATAGACAGGCTGCACCGTCGATTTAGCCACGTCGCTCCACGTCTGTCTCGGGCGTACATGGTAGGAATTCGGCCAGCGTTGGAGTGGGAATGGCCAGAAGGGTGCTTGGGAGAGTGGCCCCTTCCCGGCTTTTAAAATTTTGCTCTAACATTAGCGCTCGGTGAATAATTAGTGGGACGGGAGACAGGAACGCCAAGGGCGAAACCGGTTCTCAGCCAAGCAGCCCGGGGCCTGGTCGAACATGCTTCTTCTAGAATGTGTGGATGCTCACTTTGTCTCGTTCGTGCGCTCGAAACTTGACAGAAACCAACGAAGTAGGCGTTCTAGAGCTTGTCCTCATACCTTCTGAAATCTTGTGTCTGGTCAGAGACTTCGTACACAAACAGAAACGGCTGAAAAACGTGTTTCCCACCTTGGTGACTTGGTCAAGGTGATCGGCTCCGAGGATGTCGAATCTTTGCCCTCGGCCCTGGACCCACGGGACCCACCTCTCACAAGATCAGATAAACATTTTCTTGCTCCACCCCTGCCTTTCTCGTTTCAACAAGGCATCGCTAGCGTCCGTTCTTCGGAGGAAACGGAGCAGGCTTTTCGGTTATTCCAACCAAGTCCATCGATGATTGGACTGTTCACTTCCTTTCGATGTCTTGGGACCCACTTGCATCTTATCTGATCCGAAGATAATCCCAGATTGCCAACCATATTCCGGAAAGAACGGGCCAGGGGACGCTGCACCCTTGCATCAACCGTCACCACCCTCCATCTTTCGCCGACCGCTTCCATCCGCTAACGATTGTTGACCCCGCCGGCCACCGTCAATCGCGGATAACTACCCCACAGCACCACAGAGCGACGGGCTGTGGTGCTTGCAAAAAGGGGAAAAATTCCTCATCGTCCCCCACTCCGTCGTTGTTACCTCGTGTCAGCGATTGCTTCCCCAAAGGTCAAACTCCGTAACGGTACGCCGCACAATGGCTGGACGCGGATGAATTTGAACATGGGTGTGTTTGCCTCGTGGTTCCGAGGCACGGGGAAAATGCCGCCTGGCTCCCCATCTCACGGGCGGGAGAGGGTCCTACGGGTTCTCCCGGGAGAAGCGCAGTTTGGGAGCATGAAGGCGTCAACATATGAATGGCACCCTCCGCTGCCCCTTACCAGCCTCGCTTCTCTCCCATTTTTCGTTTTGCTTTCCAGTTCGTGTTTCCGCTCAACCGGGACTTTACTCGTTTTGTCCCACCCCTCCACCCATCAAATTGGTTTCGCCCCCCGTTGAGCTACGTCAGACTTCGCTCAGTCCACATATCCCGGACCACCCGTGTTTCGTTTCACTGATGATCACAGCCATCAACGAGTAACATCACGGCACAGACCACGGTGGTCGACGCCTCTGAGCTGCCCTCCATCTCGCTGATGGTCTTTAACCCAATTCATAACCAAAGGACATCTTGCCAAAGCGCCGGAACATACCTCGCGCACACAACCTCGCAATGTCCCCACATAGCATTGATGATGCAGAGCATCTGGTGGCATCAAATGGCTTCCACGACGCAGAACCCGTTCCGCAGCTGGTCAACGGCCTCGCCAACGCTCACCCGCCTACATCGTCTCTTAAGAGCGAGTTTCTCCGAGCTGTCGACCCTGATTCGGTGCTAGACTTGGTCTGTGTGGGCTTTGGGCCCGCTAGTGTGGCCATCGCAGTCGCTCTCCATGACGCCATGGATGCCGGCAAGGTGTCCGAGACACCCAAGGTGTTGTTTCTAGAAAAGCAAGCGGAATTCGCCTGGCACGCGGGCATGCTGTTACCGGGCGCCAAGATGCAAATCTCCTTTATCAAGGACCTGGCCTCACTGCGCGACCCGCGATCAAAGTTTACCTTCCTCAACTACCTGCACAAGAACAACCGACTCGTCGACTTCATCAACCTTGGCACCTTCCTGCCCGCCCGCGCTGAATACGAGGACTACTTGCGATGGTGTGCCCGGCACTTCGACGACGTAGTTTGCTACCAGACCGAGGTGGTTTCTATTGCTCCTTTGGAGGAAGCAGGGCCACGCAAGGTTTTCACCGTGACGTCTCGAAACGTCAAGACTGGCGCGATTACCACGCTCCGGTCACGCAACGTCGTTGTGGCTGTCGGCGGTCAGGCGTCGATACCCAAAGCCCTCCCGACGCGACACCCTCGTGTTATCCACTCGTCGCAGTATGCCCAGCTCGTCCCCAGGATACTTGACGACAAGGGGGCCCCGCATCGGGTGGCCGTCATTGGGGCCGGCCAGAGCGCGGCCGAGATCTTCAACAATGTCCAGGGGTTGTACCCGAATAGCAAGACACATTTGATCATGCGTTCCGAGTTTCTGAAGCCAAGCGACGATTCCCCATTGTAAGCATCACACTTATCCCCTGACCCCTTCGCCCGGCTTGAGGCTGACTCGTCGTTTTGTCCAAAGCGTTAATTGCATCTTTAACCCCGATTTTATCGACACCGTCTACCCCAAGCCATTTGCCTCTCGAGCCAACCTCCTTGCCGACGCGAGAGCCACAAACTATGGTGTTGTCCGGCTAGAGCTCATTGAGCATCTATTTGAGGTCATGTACCACCAGAAGCGGACGCTAGGGCCTGATGAACACAAGTGGCCGCACCGTATCCTAGCCGGCCGGGATATCGTGTCTGCGGAGGATATGGGTGACTCGCTTCGGCTCAGAACCGCCTTGCTACCTGTCCCAGGGGTGGCTGACGCGCCCTTGGTTGGGCAGGAGGAGTTGGACGTAGACCTTGTTATTTGCGCGACGGGGTACAACCGCACGGCACACCTCGACATGCTTAAGGAGGCGTGGTCTCTGCTACCGGAAGCCACGGCCGACCAAAGCGCGGTCCCGAGAAGGGACCGATGGCTGGTGGAAACCACAAAGGGAGACGCTTCTTCCACCCGTCTCATGGAGGTTGGACGGAATTATGGTGTCCGTTTCTTGCCAGGCAGTGTGGCTCCTGGATCTGGTATTTGGTTGCAGGGTTGCTGCGAGGCGACTCATGGTGTAAGTGGTGACCTAGTTTTGTTCTTGTCCTTTGTGGTGCAACTTATCGGGCCAAGCTGACCATTCGCAGTTGAGTGATACCCTTCTGTCTGTGTTGGCGACGCGATCCGGGGAGATAGTGGAGTCCATTTTTCGAACAGAGGCCTGATTCATCATAACGGCCGTCGGGTCGCTCTGTAGATTTCGCTTGTTTGCATTTAGTAAAGTGAACAGGGGGAGTTAGGGCCCGCGTGTTACAAAAGCACTGGTTTGGATCGTTACACTGCAGACAGTTTGACTGGGAAGCTCGGGACCGCTCGTAGGAGTACAAACTGCGGGGCAAAAAAATGTCGGAAGTCCATCTCCTGGGGCCAATCTTCATCCTCGAGCGTGAACGGGTTGATAGCGGACTCAAAGCCGGTTGAAGCGTGATGTCGGCCACAGCTGGTGGGGTTAACCGTCCGCTTTCCTCAAACAGGCTGAAAAACGGACCCCAGCGTTTGTTTGACGGGATCTCTGTTTGACCGTTTTTGTTGATCTATCTCGGCCGAGGTTGTACCCTTCGGATACCGAGCGGAGTGGGATCCTAGAATGGGGGTTCACCACGCCATGACGCAACGAAAATACTCCTGTGACTAACAACAACCGAGCGCGGAAAGGGGGTTGAGGGGGTTCGGCGGTTGTAGACATCAAGACCCGAAAACGGCGTAATGGGGGCCTGAATGCGTGGTGTGATGAATGTTAGTGGAGGCTTATTGGCCAGTCAGTCATCTTGAACTCTGTACACGGCTCCAGGGATAGCGGGCAAGTAGAAACGGCGAGACCTGCTCGAGACGTGGTAAGGTTTTTGCGGGCTCCGTGTCTGGTCATGGGTCCCTGGCACATCCTCTGAGGTTGGTAATTCTCGGACTCGCATCCCCGACTTGTTCATGGCCTGCATCGGCTCGCACCGTTAAAGGTCGTGCCTTCCCGTGTTTTACCCGAATCCTACTATGTGGTTGTCAATCATTAAAAAGAACGTCCAGGTCTGCAGGCAGAAGAAGGCGGAACCTACCTTGCTCTCGAACTTTGAACCCAGAATTTGGGGATCCCGCACCTACGTTAACGAGCCCACAACCCATCATCCGCGCTTCACGTGGTAGTGTGGTACATGTACCCACGCAGTGCCCACGCAACGCCTGCATTTAAAACAGCTCAGGCAGTGTAACTCAGGGCGCGGATTGTGCATGGGTTGCCCACCTCGTCATTGCGATATCTTCAGCAGTTGAGTTTGACAGCGACGGCACACCTCGAATTGACCAATAGGCCGCCTCGAGATTCAAATCGGTCGTTCTGGATTCGCTTTGTAGCGACTTGGGCCGATCAGCCCTTCTGGTATTTCGTTTACCCCCTTTGAGGTATATGTGTAACGTGAGGAGCTGGGAAGAGTCTCGTGCAAGTTGTCGGTCATCCGGGCTTCCAGAAGACACTTCTGAGGTATGTCGGGTTGTTTGGGTGGTGATGGAGTCGTTAGAACTGGTTAGCTTATGAATTGTCTCAGCTTCAATAACCATCATGGGCACCTCGGCTTCGAAACCGGACAGCCTGTCCATCGCTAACCATCCGGCTAAACGAGTACCGGGGCCAAGGTTACTTCATCATCTCGTGGCCAGAGCTTCACACAAGTCGCCACTCGCCATCGACTTTCTCTCCACAAGCGGGCAGCGAACGTCTTTATCGTATGCCTCCTTACACGAGGCTTCCGATGTATTGGCAAACAGGATCTCGGCTCTCGCAGGAGGCTCGAACTACTCGTCACCGTTCGTTGTTCCAGTTCTGATCCCGCAAAGCCTGGAGCTGTACATCGCCATACTAGCTATCTTGAAGGTCGGAGGTGCATTTTGCCCGATAAACTTGGATGTGCCCTCGAGCCGCACCAAGTTTATTCTAGAGGATGTTTCCGCCAAACTTGTGATTACCACGTCCGAGCTGGCCGGCAACTTGCCAGCTGGAAATTATTCTGTCCTTCTTGTCGACAACGAAAGGGGTGTGGCTGCGGTAGGAAAACGTTCTTCCCACCGCAAGTCTACCCCATCCGACCTCGCATACGTGATGTACACCTCCGGCTCAACTGGGACACCAAAGGGGGTAGGCGTGTCCCATGACGCCGCTACGCAGAGTTTACTCGCTCATGAACGTCATATTCCGCCATTTTCACGCTTCTTGCAATTCGCCGCGCCCACGTTTGATGTTTCTGTTTTTGAGATCTTCTTTCCGTTGTTTCGCGGTAAGACTCTCGTTGCCTGTGCCCGGTCGACAATGCTGAACGACCTGCCGGCTGTCATTCGGGATATGGAGGTGGACGCGTGTGAGCTGACGCCCAGTGTGGCCGGGAGTCTTCTCCGGACCCGACAAAACGCGCCCGGTCTTCGCTTGCTGTTGACAATCGGAGAGATGCTCACGCAACCGGTGGTGGAGGAATTTGGCGGTGCGGATGGCCGTCGGAGTATCCTTTGGGGCATGTATGGTCCGACGGAAGCGGCGATTCACTGTACGCTCCAAGCTGAGTTCGCTAGTCGCTCAGCTGTTCAGAACATTGGCGTCCCAATCGACACTGTATCCGCCTTTATCCTCAACATTCCCACAGAACACAGCACGAACCAAGCCATCTCCGTCCTTCCTCGTGGAGAAATCGGTGAGCTAGCCTTGGGTGGGTACCAGCTCGCCCAAGGTTATCTCAACCGGCCGGAGCAGACATCAGTTGCATTCATCGACAGCTCGTATGGTCGCCTTTACCGGACGGGAGACAAAGCCCGGATGCTTTTGGACGGCACGCTCGAATGTCTTGGCCGGATTGCCGACGGGCAGGTCAAGCTCAGGGGCCAGAGAATGGAGCTTGGGGAGATCGAGCAGGCTGCATTGAAAACCCCGGGATGCCACAGTGCCGCTGCCACGGTTAAAGAAGCTACGCTTATTTTGTTTTGCGCGGTCGATGATGGATCTGGTGATATAAGAGATGCTATTCTGCAGTCCTGCAAACAATGGCTTCCCGGGTTCATGGTCCCTAACGAGATTGTTATGGTGCCAAGTTTCCCGCGTCTCGCATCGGGGAAGGTTGACAGGAACACATTGGCTGCTGAGCACGGAACTCAGACCATTGGCTCATCTCTAGACATTCCGTACAGGGACGCGCTGGAGGAGCAGCTGTGTGCGGTCACGGGCACTTTCCTGGGGGTTCAAGTTCAACCAGACCAAGACCTGTCCAAATCTGGTCTGGATTCACTCACGGCGATCAAGCTTGCTTCGCTATTACGAGACGCCGGGTTTCGAGTCGGTGCCATCGATCTTTTGGCGGACCGGTCTGTCTCGGCGATACACAAACGGATACTTTCCGGACTTGGAGCCGGGATACCACCGGCCGGGCCTCGAATGAACGTTGCCCATTCGAGGCCAGACATTCCAGATGTGGTAGCCGACAACCCAGTACTTGCAGCAAGTGGCCGGGCCGTCGAATCAATTCTCCCCTGCACACCACTTCAACGGTCCATGCTGGCCGAGACAATGGCTAATTCCCGCACGTACTGCAACTGGGTCGAACTGCGAATCGATGGTCCACACCCCCGAGAAATTGTGCGGTCCTGGTTCTTGCAACTGGCCCAATCGAACGAAGCACTACGCACTGGCTTTGTGAGGCACGACGGGCGGATTATGCAAGTTGTTTTCGAGCAGCCCCTGCCATCAATCATTGTGCTTGCCGACTCTATCGACCGTGAGTTTGAATTGCGCGAGGAAGCCGATTTTCTCTGTCCATTCCGCGTTTGGTTATCTCAAACGCAAGGGTCCGTTAGCACCACTGCCATTCTGCAGATTCATCATGCAGTGTATGATGGTTGGTCGTTGGACTTGCTCCTTTATGACTTGGAGAGACTAGCTCAAGGGCAGGAGTTGGCAGTTCGGCCACAGTTTCGTCGGGTCTTGGAGCATCAACTCTCGGAGGAATATGCCCAAAACCGCGACGCGGCAACTGAGTTCTGGGCCGGGAATTTACAGGGGTTCCAACCTCCGGGGCTCCTAGTACTTAACCCAGAAACAAACCATACACCAACCGTCCTATCAGCCACTGTTCCTGTCCCTATCGACCCCAAAGCTCTCAGGGAAGGCCTTCAGAGCGTGGAGTGTGGACCGCAAACCATCTTCCAAGCCGCGCTGGCCTGGTTGTGGAGTAGCATGGTTGGGTCAGAAGACGTGGTGGTCGGTTCAATACAATCTGGAAGGACTTTGCCTGTATCCAGGATTGAAGACATCGTCGGGCTTTGCATCACTGCAGTGCCTCTCCGAACTAACCTGTCCCAAGTGCGCACAGTAAGGGACCTTCTCTTGGGTGTTCATGCTGGGAACAGGGCGGCCATGCCGCACGGCGTCTTGTCCCTGCCTGATATCAAACGGAGCGCAGGTATCCGTCCTGGACAGTCGCTTTACGACGTTCTCTTCGTCTATCAAGAGTCCCTAAATAACCAGAGTAGCACCAGTATTATCAAACAGGTTGCTCATCATGACTATCTCGAGACAAAACTCCTAGTCGAGGTCGAGCCAAGGGGCGCGCATTTCGATTGCCGGTTCACCTATCATTCGGATGCGTTTCCGGAATCCCAGGTCCGGATCATGGCAGAATTGATACCGGCCTTGGTGTCTCGAATTCTCAGCAATATGGACGTGGAGCTCACTACCTTACGATCGGCTTTCCCTGACCATCTGCTCTCCATCTTCAACCCCACCCCAAAGACCGTTTTTGGCACCCTTGATTTGGCAACCGCGGTCGAACAAACAGCCGTGGAGTTTCCGCACAAAGACGCCGTGTGCTTCGTTGACAACATATCTGATGGCGTCATATCCACCACCACCATCACTTTCGCTGAGTTGAACAACATGGCCAACTGCATTTCCGGCCACCTGCTTGAACATGGCGTTGGAGAAGGCGACGTGGTAGCCATCGTCATGGAAAAGTCGATACGTCTTTACGCTGGTATCCTGGCAATTCTCAAGGCTGGCTGTGCATACCTCCCACTTTTACCAAGCACCCCTGTCAAGCGGATTCAAGGGATTTTCCAGCAAGCTGACGTTGGACTCTGTCTGGTTGATACCGTCACTCAGAAGAAATGGGACCCGGAGCTTTCGTGCCGTTTTTTGAACATTGAATCCATCAGTCTCACGAAACCGGTTGGCCAATACGACAAGCCGCAGCCTGACACTGCTCGTTTAGCATACATCATCTACACATCGGGCAGCACCGGGGTGCCCAAGGGCGTCTGTCTCACTCAGCTCAACATCATGAGCAACCTGGATGTGTTGTCGCGGATATACCCGGTCAAAGAAACTTCTCGGCTCTTGCAGTCCTGTTCCCAAGCCTTCGACGTCTCTGTGTTCGAGATCTTCTTTGCGTGGACTCGCGGACTGTGCTTATGCTCGGCCACAAACGACATGCTCTTCGAGGATCTCGAAAGATCAATCCGCAAGCTCAATGTCACCCATCTCAGCATGACACCCACCGTGGCATCGTTGGTTGACCCAGTCAACGTCCCATGTGTTGAATTCCTCGTCACCGCCGGAGAAGCCATGACGGAATCCGTGGCCCGTCAATGGGGCGACAAGCTTTTCCAGGGGTACGGTCCATCTGAAACGACAAATATCTGCAGCGTCAAGCAGATGGGCCCAAATCAGGCTGTTCAGCACTTGGGCCGGTCCTTCGGCAACACCTCAACGTTTGTAATGCATCAAGATAGTACAGAAATCGTACCTGTGGGCTGCCTCGGAGAGTTTTGCTTTGGTGGCGACCAGGTTGCACGGGGGTACCTCAAAATGGAAGAGCTCACAGCGGCAAAGTTTATTCATCATCCCAAATTTGGCAGACTTTACAGATCTGGCGACTTGGGGCGTATGCTTCCGGATGGGTCCATGGTCATTGTCGGCCGAGCGGACGAGCAGATCAAAATCCGGGGACAACGGGTGGAGCTCGACGAGATCAATGCCGCGATTCGTGAGTCGGGGTACACTGAGTGTGCAACCCTGTTTCTGAAGGAGGGAGAAACAGGCATGCGGGATCAGATTACCTCCTTTATCGTGTTGAACAAGCAGGATACCGACGGGTGTCAGGTGTTGGAAGTGGATGACGGACTCAGGAGTAATATCCAAAGCCTGTATCAGTCTCTCAACTCCCAGCTTCCAACGTACATGATCCCATCGGCTGTCATCCCCATCTCGTCAATCCCGATCACTACTTCGGGCAAGTTGGATCGAACCCGCTTGAAGCAGGCTTTTGCCGACATTCAGAAACGGCAACTCGGTGCCGTGAATTGCGGTGCTGCCTCTGATGTGGATGACAAAGAGTGGTCTGACACCGAGAAAAAGATCGCCCGGGCCATTTGCTCTGCTCTTAACGTTGACAAAGTTGATCTACACAGATGGACACCGTTGGCTACACTCGGGCTTGATTCCATATCTGCAATCCAGGTCTCGAGGAAAATCTCGGATACGCTAGGTAAACGATTGCCTATCTCGGCTATTTTACAAAACACTTCAGTTGCAAGACTTGCCAGGATAACGTCGAAACTGAATGATGGGGAAGCGAAACAAGTTCAGGTGCCAGACTTCCTCCCACAACATGCTTTGGATGACGTCGCCGGGCGTTTGGGGGAGGCGGGGATCTCATTCTCTAAAGTACTCCCATGCATGCCCCTACAGGAGGCCATGCTCACCGCCTCATTGACTGGTGGTCAATACCTCAACCGCATGCTATTCAAGATTACTGGGGATTTCGAGAAAGTGAGAGCCGCTTGGAATGCCATGGTTCTGCGGCATGATATCCTCCGGACGTGTTTTGTATCCGGAGTCGATACGCAGTGGCCGATCTTACAAGTCGTTCTCGACCCCTGGACGGTCTCCTGGAATGAGTTTGAGGGCTCCATTGACCAGTGTGTGGCCAAGCACGCGCAGACTCTGCCACCTGCGGTGGACTCGCTGATCCCTGCGGTAGCATTTGCCACGGTCAAACACGGGGACGATACCTTCTTGTCTTTTGTGTGCCACCATGCTCTGTATGATGGTGTCGCCGTCGAGAAACTGCTCCATGAAGTTGAGAAGCATGTTACTGGCGAGCCACTCCCGCCGGTGCCGTCTTCCGAACGGTTCCTGGAGCAATCCCTCAAAGTCACAAAGAGCACCGACGTCTTTTGGCTAGACCATCTGGCCGGGTACCAGCCAAAGTTTGTTTTGGATCTCCAGTCAAACCCGTCGGAACCGTTTGACATTCGACACTCACTGGATATTCCCTTGTCTGAGGTCATTGCTAAGACGCGGGATCTTGGCGTTTCGCTTCTTGCTGTGGTTCAGGCAGGATGGGCAGCGACGCTCGCTAGCATCTTTCAAGGTGATGATGTGTGCTTTGGAAATGTTGTCAGTGGCCGAAGCGTATCCGTGGATGGAATTGACAATCTAGTGGCCCCATGCTTTAACACAATACCAGTCCGCATGAATCTTTCTCGGCAGCCTCGGAATCTCGATTTGTTGAGGGCCTTCCACACTCTCAGTGCCCAACTCTTGCAGCATCAGTTCACCCCACTTCGACGGATTCGGTCTTTGATTCCTGGGAACAGCGAGTCCTATTTGTTTGATACACTACTGCTTCTTCAGCCAAGCCCTCGACCCCTGGATTCGTCCATTTGGACGCTGGAACGAGACCATGGGGAAACGGATGTAAGTCGAGATATATGCCCGAATCGGGGCCTTCTCTAACATGGACAGGTCCCTCTGGTCTGTGAGCTGACGCCGGATCATCATGCCGATGCCTTGAACATCAAAATCCACACCATTGAAAGGTATGTGTTGTAGGATTCCTCTCGTGACTCTGGCTTACACACTGATAGCAAAGCATTCCCTGTCGGCTTGGTGGAATTGATTTACGACTTGTTTGTTCATGCTCTGGCGCACAGCTTGCAGTTCCCGGGGTCACGTACAAGCCACGTCAGCTTGCCCTCAGTTCTCGTGGAGAGGCTCAGCCATGTGATATACCGACGTCCAGCACCCACCGTCGCAGTGGAAAAGCCGGATGAGCCCGACGAGATTTGGACAAATTTGGAGGTTACAATCCGTGACGTGCTAGCTGAGTTTGCGGCTCGATCACCAGAACATATCCGGCGCGAAACGACAATCTATCAACTGGGTTTGGACAGTATCAGCGCTGTGCTAGTTGCATCCGCTCTCCGAAAACGAGGTTACGAGATGCTCGCTTCCGACATCATTACGCATCCGACGTGCGCCAGCCTTGCTCAGTATCTAGAGGCTCGCACGCCGGAATCAAGTTCCCGCCAGATGTACGACATCGCCGCATTTCAGACACAGGTCTGGGACCAGGTGCTTGACCAGGGCATACCCATGACTACAATCGAAGCAATTCTTCCATGCACACCACTACAGTCTGGCATGATGGCCCAGTTTATCAAGTCTGGTGGCCGGGATTACTTCAATTTCATCAATTTTGATGTCGGGCCTGGAGTTGACATCAAGGGGCTTGCGGATGCGTGGGGTACTGTTTCGCGAGCACACACAATTCTTCGGACCAGCATCGTACCTGTCGAACATGACGACTGTGCCTTTGCCATGGTGCAGCGCGGTCTGGACCCAGCTGGGTCAAGCGCAGTGACATCTGTCCAGCCATCACCCGGGTTTGACATCCGTGGATGGCAACGTGACACAGCTGAAGCAGCGTGCAAAGCACCCCACACCGGGCTTTGGGCCGTTGCATTGGTCGAACAGGGAGAAATGATTGAGATGCATCTCGCGATTCACCATGCACTCTACGACGCGTACTCTCTCCAGACCATACTGGATGACCTCGCTCGGGCGGCAAATTGTGAAAGTATCTCCTCTGAGAGGGGTTCTCTGGGTGCCGTTGCGGATATCATGGGCCAGGCTTTGTCGGAATCCGAGGCATCCACCAATTTCTGGATCGAGAAGGCGGGAGATGTTGTGATCAACACCTTTCCGGTCCTCACGCCCCTAAGGGAGACATCACGGGTTGTGCTGGCGGAGTGCATCACTAGTGCCACTTCTTTGTCTGAGCTAGAAGATGCAGCATCCAAATCCGGCCACACTCTGCAAGTCATTCTCCAAGCAGCATGGACACGAGTTCTGTGCGCCTATCTCGGGGAGGAATCCGTGGTCTTCGGGGTCGTTCTCTCCGGGCGCAACACAGAAGCAACTCGTGACGCTGCTTTTCCGTGCATTACCACACTTCCGGTGGTATCCCGCAACAACAACTCCAACCACGCTCTCCTAGCCCAAATGCTCCAGTACAACACTGAGCTCTCTGCGCAACAGCATCAACCGTTGACGCGGATTCAGCAAAGGTTGGGATGCTCGGACGCCAAATTGTTTGACACACTGTTGGTCTACCAAAAGTTTGGGCGGAGCACTGCAAATTCTCCGCCATGGCGGGTTGTGAAAGAGGACGCCTTCATTGACTTTCCCATTTCTATCGAGGTTGAGCCGAGCACAGACGGCAGTCTCAAGCATCAGATTACGTTCTTCAGTGATGTGCTGTCCAACGAACAGGCAAGTCTCCTTTTGAGGCAATTTGACGCAGCCGTCCAGCACCTCGCCTTTTATCCTTCTGGGCAGGATGCGGATTTGTTTGGTCAATGTCCGGGCGTCTTTTCAGTTCTCCCCGCTGAGACACCGGTAATACCGACCAGCGTCCGGTATCTCCACCAGTTCGTGGAGCTCTCTGCTCGACAATCTCCTGCCGCGACGGCGTTGCACTTTGTGGACAGATTCGACAATGATGTCCCGGTTGGGCGAAAGTGGACCTACAAAGATCTTGACGACAACGGCAATCGTGTTGCCCACTTGCTCACCCCCCACGCCCGGCCCGGGGATATCGTTGCCGTGTGTTTCGGCAAATGCCCCGAGGCCTACTTTTCCATCCTAGGTGTTCTCAAGACCGGTTGTGCCTTTGTGGCCCTCGACCCAAGCGCCCCACGGGCTCGAAATGAGTTCATTCTAAAGGATTCCGGAGCAGTTGCGTTGGTTGCGTCAAATAATATGAAGAGCAACCTTGAGGTTCTGCCCGGTGTAGAACGTTTGGTTGTCGACCTCGACTCCCTTTCGTCCATACCACCGGTCCCATTGGCCCTAGAACCAGCGGTGCAACCATCCGATGTGTGTTACTGCCTGTATACCTCTGGCACAACGGGCACACCCAAAGGGTGCGAGATCACTCACGACAACGCGGTCCAATGCATGCTAGCATTCCAACACATTTTTGAGGGCCACTGGCAGCAAGATTCAAGATGGCTGCAGTTTGCAGCTCTGCATTTCGACGTGTCGGTCTTGGAACAGTACTGGACATGGTCTGTCGGAATCACCTTGGTCGCGGCTCCGAGAGATTTGATCCTTGAAGACCTGACTGGCGTCATCTCCCGACTAGAGATCACGCACATCGACCTTACACCCAGTCTTGCGCGGCTGCTACATCCAGATGATGTCCCCAGCCTCTGCAAGGGTGTTTTTATCACAGGTGGTGAGTCACTGAAGCAGGAGATTCTGGATGTCTGGGGTTCCAAAGCTGTCATTTACAACTTTTACGGTCCTACCGAGGCCACGATTGGCGTTACCGCTTTCCCCAGGGTTCCTACTACCGGTCGCGCATCGAACATTGGACGGCAATTCATCAACGTCGGATCCTATGTTCTTAAGCCGGATTCAGAGGACCCCGTTCTGAGAGGAGCCGTGGGCGAACTCTGTGTCTCTGGGAGGTTGGTTGGCAAGGGGTACCTACATCGTGACGACCTGACCGCTTTGAAGTTCCCTACGTTGCAAAGATTCGGGGAGCGTGTCTACCGAACCGGTGATTTGGTTCGAGTGCTGCACGATGGTTGTTTTGAGTTCCTCGGCCGTGCGGATGACCAGGTCAAACTCCGGGGCCAGCGTCTCGAAATTGGCGAGATCAACCATACCATTCGCAAAGGGGTCAACACTGTCCAAGACGTTGCCACGCTGGTTGTCCGCAATGAGGCCCAGCGCAAAGACCTCCTTGTGTCCTTTATCACGGCGGTGAAAGGGACTAAACCAAGAGGGCCGGATGCGCGTCTCGAGCTCATGACCAGCCCAGAGGCTGTGGCACTCTGCCAACGTACCCGGGATGCGTGCCGATCGAAACTGCCTGGTTACATGGTCCCAACATATGTTCTTCCGGTCGCGTTCATCCCACTATCATCCAACAACAAGGCAGAGATCAAGCAACTCAGGCACTTCTTTGTTTCTCTGAATTCAGAGCACCTGATTTCGCTGTCCTCTTCTGGCAACACGGTTCAAAAGCTCGATGCGGCCGGCAAGAAGATTGCCGCCGTTATCGCTAGAATGCAGAAGCTTGATATTCGGTCCATAACCTCAAACTCGAACATTTTTGAGCTCGGGGTCGATTCGTTGTCCGTCCTACGTTTGTGTCGGGCCTTGAAAAAAGAAGGTTTCGTCCATGCCAGCGTTTCCCTGATCATGCAACAACCGGTGATGAAGGATCTTTCAAAAGCTCTTGCATCTAAAGAGACGCGCGGCAACTCTGCGCTGGTCACGGAAGCACGACAGCTTATCCGCGGATGTGGGCATACATATCGGGCATTGGTTTGCCGGGAACTGGCAACCACAGCAGCCGAGATTGAGTACATTGCTCCGTGCTCACCGTTGCAACAGGGAATGATGTCGAAATCCGTAACGGACAACGCGTACTTCAACGCGTTCCAACTGTCCTTGACATCCGAGACCTCTATCGAGCGTTTGCGCGATGCCTTGCGAAAGACCGTGGATGACTTGCCTATTCTCCGCACGGCGTTCTTGGCGACACCCGAAGGTGTCGTGCAAGTCGCATTGAAACGGCGTTCCCTTCCTTGGTATAATATCCACGCCGGCGGTCAAAGCGTGGCAGAGGTTATGATGACAGCTCGTGATTCATGGATCTCACGCAACCAAGACACGTTGAGCCAGCCCATTGAAGCCGTTCTCGTCGAAGAGGAAGGTGCACGCCTGCTTGTTCTTCACATCTTCCATGGGCTCTACGATGCCAACAGCCTCAAATTGGTTCTAGATCGAGTGGTAGAAGAATACCGAGCACTCGAAAACCGGCCTCGGAGATTTGACCCCGAAACCGCGCCATCCTTCCTCGATGCGATGTGCCACGGTCCGCTGCAGAACTTCGAAAGCAGCAAATCGTTCTGGCTCGCTCATCTGTCCTGTGCTACTCCCACGGTGTTATCTGAAATCGGGGACTTGCCGGTGCGGTTTGAAGAACGGCGGGTCCGATTTGAAGAGCTTGAGCTGTTGAAAACACGGCTCGGCGTCACGCACCAAGCACTTGTCCAGGCAGCCTGGGTTGCCGTTTTATCGAAGCATACCATAAACGGCCCGACAATTGGTATAATCGTCTCGGGGAGGAACATGAAACTTGACGGGGCTGAAAACGTTGTGGGACCGCTGTTCAACACTCTCCCTTTCCATGCCCGAATCACGCCCGGACAAGGCATGACATGGTCTTCGTTGATCCGGCAGTGTCACGACTTCAACATCACCGCTCTGGGCTTTGAGCATGTACCTCTTCGTGACATTCAAAAGTGGTGTAGTAATGGCAGACCTTTGTTTGACACATTATTTTCGTTCCAAAGGGATGAGCCGACACCGGGCGAACAACACCCTCTATGGAGACTCATCGATGCTCCGCCGAACCCGGATTACCCCCTTGCGTTGGAAGCTACCTTGGACCTCAGTCACTCCTTGAGACTACTTATCGTTCGCAGAGGTGATTTTGTGGGAGTGGAGGGGCTGATGGACGACTTAGAGCAAGCGTTCATGGCCATGGCCAACGATGATGATGGTGTCGTTGGCGTTGGAACCCCGCTAATAGTCACAGGACAAGGGGAAATTCCACGTGGCGAATATGTTCCGGATGGGGCCTTGCTGAACAAAGTCCCTCGTTCTACCGCAACCGACACCTCATTTTCCTGGACTGTTGAAGCCATTGAGATCCGCAATGCGGTGGCCACACTCGCTGACACCGACCTGGGAACTATCAATGAAACGACTCCTCTGTTTGGATTGGGTCTCGACAGTATTGATCTCATCAGACTCTCGGCTATGCTCAAGACAAAAGGAATACAGATCAAAACAAACGAGGTGATGAAAGCGCAAACGATTTCCGCCATGGCCAATTTGCTTCGAACCCGGGCCCGTGGTCCCCAGCCAAGCGAGATCAATGCCACGGCTCAACACATGGCTTCCGAAGTAACTTCGTTCCGAGAACATGTCCGCGGAACTGCTGCGGTCGGTGACGACGACATTGTGCTCCCTGTCACCCACCTCCAAAAGGCCATGGTGGTTGGAATGATTGAGTCCGACTTTCAGCTTTACTTCAACCACGATATCATGGAATTGGCAGTGTCAGTCGACATGGACAGACTGAAAGACGCGTGGCAGGCAGTCATTGCCGGATCACCCATTCTGCGCACACGGTTCCTGGCAGTCAACGGCCCGACTTCCAAAGCATCATATTGCCAAATCATCAGCAATGAGTCATCAGGGCACATAACTGATATGCAGTTGGAGACGAAGGATGAACTAGCCAAGGTCTGTGATGCAGCGATGCTCCGAGCAAAAAAGGGGTCTGGGGCGTCTGAGCTCCTCCAACTTGCCTTCGTCTCGGTTGGGGCGCAGCGATTCTTGGTGCTGTCCATCGCCCATGCTTTGTACGACGGTTGGTCGCTGGGGCTTTTGCACCGTGACGTGCACGATGCGTACCATGGATCTTATCATCCATCGGACATACAGGCTTACACAAAACAAGTTGCCGAGCTTGTCTCGCATCATGATCCGGATGCTGCGGGCTTCTGGGCTGGATACCTACAGGACGTGGAGCCGACCCTGCTCCCGTCTAGGACCGTGACAAGAGAGTCAATCATCCACCGAACCGAGGTGTCATCATCCACACGAACGACCACCATCATTCAATTCTGCAAAGCAAACGCTGTGACCCTGCAAACGTTAGGTCAGGCGTGCTGGTCTGCGTACCTCGCAGCACGTACAGGCTCTCTCGACGTCACTTTTGGGGCAGTGTTGTCCTGTAGAGACACCGCATCACTCGAAACTCTCAGATTTCCAACCATAAATACCGTCGTAATCCGCAGCGTTTTGCACGGCACGGTATCTTCATGGTTGCAGTACATGCAACGGAATATCAACGAGATCAATTGTCACCCCCACCTCGCCCTCCGAGACGCACGAAACCTCGCTAAAGCCCGGGGGCCTCTGTTCAACACCCTCTTCATCCATCAGAGGGGCCCATCCTCCAACCCTAACCAGCCGACACATCCCCAGCTGATGGTTTCGGCGGATGGAAACGCAAACGCAAACGCAAACGTCGAATACCCTGTGTGTGTGGAAACCGAGATGACGGAGGACGGATTTGTGTGGCGGTCGGCGTGCTCTGCGACGTACGTATCGCCGGCCGAGTCGTCGCGGGTGTTGCGGGAGCTCGATAGTACTCTCGGTAATATTGTCAAGTATCCCGAGGGGAACGTGCTGAGAATACTCAACGGAATGCAAGTCACGGTTTGCGACCGGGGTCCCATCACCATACGACACCCCGATATAAGCCTCCGGGCGAAAAACGAAGACTCAAAGGTCGATGGGGGTCAAGTTAATGAAGACGGGCTTGAAGAAGGGAAGGCCAATGCGGCAAAATGGGCACCTTTTGAGATCCTCATTAGAGATGTCTTCGCCGCATTGTTAGAGGTTCCGCCTGAAGTGATCCGGCGGAGTGACAACGTATTCCACTTAGGCCTAGACTGCCTGGAAGCTGTCAGGGCCAGCTCGCTGTTCCGGAAAGCCGGGATCACCATTCCGTTCACGGAAATGGTCATGGGAAAGACCATCCCTGAACTGGCTTTTCTAGCTCTGGAGAACAGGGGGAAGGAGGCGCGTCCGTCACCCAAGGACGATGGGCTTGAAAAAGGATTCAACACTTTCTTCGGGCGAGAAATCCTGGACGACGCATGCATTGATGAAGCCAGCGTGGAGGCCATCGTCCCTGCGACGCCACAGCAGGTCCACATGCTTGCGGTGTCGCAAAACACTCAAGGCGATCTCTTTTTTCCGGTTTTCCGATACACGCTTCCAGGGCACCTTGAACTACTCACCATCGCTGGTGCCTGGGATACGTTGGTGGCCGACCTTCCAATCCTGAGGACGGCCTTCTTGCCGAGCAATTCGCCATCCGCCCCGGTGTTACAAGTGGTCTTCAAACCTGTTTATCTCGGAGCACAGATCTCGAACAACAATACCAGTTACCAAAACCATCCACCAGAGAACACTTCACAGCCATACCACACACTCCGCGTGGAAAGGTCCGGTGACGTTTGGGATATCGAGCTTAGAATCCATCACGCCCTGTATGATGCCGTCAGTCTTTCAGCAATGTTGGACCGGTTTGTCGCATTGTGTTGCAGTGCTTGCCCAGCAGCCAGTACATTCAACTGGGCAACCATCTATTCTCAACTCCATTCCACGGTAGCCGACACCGAACGACGGGAGTACTGGATCAATTATATGCACAATGATGAACACGAATTACTCTTCCCCCTGTCGTCATCGGGGACACCCGCAAAACCGCGGATTGATGTTGTCCGCCAAGGAGCCATCAAAAACGCACGTAGTCTGATTGATGTCTGCAAAAAGCGTGGAGTCACCCTACAAGCGCTTTTTTTCGCCGCCTATGCAGAATCTGTCGCCCGTTTAGCCGATCGTCGGCCAAGCAATGTTGTCTTCGGTGTGTATCTCGCCAATCGTACCGACCACGATCAACCCGGGGCAGAATTTTACCCCTTGCTCCGGCTCGTGCCCCTGTGTCTCCGGTTCTGGACACGCGATCTGCTAGAACTTGCAGCTACTGTTCAAAGAATGATCCTCACAATCTCGAAGCGGGTGTACAATGAAGCGGGTTTGTGGGAAATCAAGGAATGGACGGGGGTCACGGTCGACTCGTTTGTGAACTTTCTTCCCAGGCGAAAAGCAATGGTGGGTGAGTCGCAGGGTCTGAGCCTAGAGCTCGGCAAGAGCTCGATCAACCGGACGCTGGATGAGGGGATCCAGGGCTTGGATGGCACCCCTAAGGACGTGGTCAGCATTGTGCCGGACTCCGTGAGAGACGCATTCCCGGTAAGAATTTCGAGTTCTTTCAGATTGTGGGTTGATGCTGACTGGTATATAGGATCCCGTGGATGTGGAAGCTTCCATGGAAGGAGATGAGATGACCATCGGCGTTTTTTGCCCCCCTGAGCGCCTCGACACGAACGGGGCAGAAAAACTCCTTGATTGCATTGTGCATGTTTTGACAGAGATCGTCGAATGAGTTTAACTCCCTATCACGTAGCTCAATACAACCCGATCCGTTTGAAAATGAATCCATTTGATCTGCCTTATACAATCTATATAGTCTCTATATCGTCCATCCAATTATGATTTTAGACGACCTAAGGATCATCCCTATATATTAAAACAAACAAATCGGTAACACACCATCAAGACACTTGACCGTGACAAATTAAGTCCTGCTTTACCAGAGCGACAACAGCCTTTCGCTTAAAACGCCAAAACCAACTCTCATCCTTGAAAATAGGTAACGTTACTTAGAGTCTCCTTCCAAATATCAACATCCTCCAACAATCTCCGCTCGTTGAAGACCAAAGCATGTCGGTTTGCTGTTTGTCCTCGTCCTAATATTCTATGGTATCTCCCAGTTTTCTATGCCGTTCCGACAGGCGCTCCTTTCTCCCATCTCACCCGCTTCCGTTAACGAGCCCGAGGACGTTGCGTTGAACTCGGTGCACATCCTCTCATAAACAAGTCGGTGGAAGTTGAGAGCGCCTACAGTTGAATACTCACGTACCGCTCCACCATGTCGTCATACGGGTAGCCCATAACTTGGACCTGGCGGCGTTGTGAACGAGATGGATACCCTGCATATCAAAGCACTGTTTATATCCAAGCTCAAGAACGGCGACTTCAAGACTGTATCATGAAATGTTGTGAATGCGGTGCTGATCACGGGGGACCTGGTTGATGGATCACCCGTCAACCAAAGCGACAATGGTTTCTGGGCGGTTTGCGGGGAGTAGGGTGATAACGTGATGGTTTCTCGTCGAGTGACTGTTGGGGTCGCAGGAACCACGGCGGGGGCTGGCAGGCCGGCCCAGATCCCCATCCTTAGTTCAACATCCAAATAATATGTAGATTAGTTTACTCTAGGGCAACAAGATGAGCCAGGTGCGGTCAAATTACCGGCATTAGTAATAGTTAGTTGGTCTTCGGTTGACCTCGAAGTTGGTAAAGATATAATTATGCGTTCCAGATGATTGTAACAGGACAAAGTCGTGGCCAAGGGGACACAGAAAATTTCTCTACAGCCTGTGTTTGCCGTCAAGCAAAAGAGATGTTTGATCGTCGCATGTAATTAGGAGAAAAATCCCAGTGTCTCATTAATCCCGTGTTTTCCAGGTGTAATCCGCATCTGGGATGGTTAGCTGCAGAACTACAGCGGTACGCATCAAAGCTACTTACCCGGATGTACCTCGGGCTCACCGATCCCTTTCCTCGCCTCTTGCTTCGCCCTCCAATCGCATCCCGAGAACCCTTTATCTCTGTGATCCATCCTTTCTGCCAGTCCCGGAACCTGGTCGGCGGCCGTGATGCTGGTCATGAGTTGCGGTTCGCCCAGCGGCAGCCTATCCCCGCGATCAACCTGCCACAAATGGTACACCTTCCCGTACAACTTGATCACCTCTTCCATCTCGGCCGTCTCGGCCTTCTCCCAAGCGCCCTGTGGCACGAACGCAGATGGCTGCGGCATGACGAGCATGCCCGACTTCACTTCAAAGACGTGGCTATGCCAGAGTCGACGTTCCTCTTGCGGGAGTGATTCGTATAAATGCGGCTTGATCATGTACTCGATGCCGATCAGACGCGCGCCTGGCGATGGGCTGTCGTAGAGTAAGCATTGACGGACATCTTCGGTGAGGTGCCCGCAATAGTGGTTGGTCTCGACGATACGCCGGGGGTCAGAGGCGTAGACGTGGAAAGCGTTGAGGTGGGCGCACACATTTTGCAGCGGAGAGAAGTCCTACGCAAAGTTATTGATCCGCTCGGAGATGAAAGGCCCAAAAGGTTATGCACCTGGGTCAATGCTGCCCCCGTTTCAAGCACAGTACTTTTTGTACTGCGGGCATCGCCGGGGACTTTGGGCTGGGCATCCCGATCTTTGACATGTGTGACTGACGCTGCCATGGTGGTATTGGTAATTATTTTAAATTTGGTGATCATGAAATGACTCGAGGTTGGCTGGCCCAAATACTGGGTCTTCGACTGTGGAATTAATTATTATGTGCTTTACAAATCCAATGTTTGTTGCCCCTTACCATTTGGTGACGTCATGTCGTTTGGAGTCGCGACGAGATGTATCACCAAAAAAGCGTTGTGGTAGAGGGCCCCTCGCTATGGCTAAAAAAAGCGACATACTAAAACAGATAGCTCAAGTCTAATCCACTGGTATCAGAACCCTGACTGGCTCGCAATCAGCCGCTGACTGACTGTAACCCTAACCCTGCCCCGCTCCCACAGGGGATATTGGCTAATATCCACATATGCGCTCAGCTGGCAATGTGGTTATTCCATAATATCCACATCTACCGCTGATCGGGCGGTTCCTGGCCCTCTGATTGGTCAATTTGAGCCACCGCGATGGTGTTCTATATCATCGATGCCCTCTGGATGCGCTGCATTGCCTGCATCTTCCAACCCTGTATCCTATGCAGGCTGCAAGATGGCCCGCCGAACCCTCCGCAAACTACAGCCGGCACCGGTGGCGACCGCGGCACCGGCGGCGGCGCGAGCGACCCGGCCGTCTATTACAGTACGTACCGGGCCTTCGGAACCGGAAGAACTGGGCCCCGGCGACGCGGTCGCGGTCACGGCGCCCGCGCGCCGCGCCGCGTGGAACCGGAACATCACCAACGACGCCGAGCTAGAAGACAACCTCCACCGCATACACACTACTATCCACGCCGAGCGGCCGATGACTACCAAGCGGGCGTACGCGCCGAAGCAGGCGGAGTTCCGGAGCTTCTGCCAGGGCCGCGGTTTCCAAGATGGGGAGACCGTTACGGAGAGCAAGCTGCTCCTGTTCCTTGAAAAGGAAGTCGTACACCGCCCGCTCCGAGGTCCAAGCCGGAAGCTAGCGCCCGGTATGCCGGCTACCGAGGCCCGGTTACACTGGCGGTCCGTCCGGGCGTATATTACGGCGATTACGGATCTGTGGCAACAGCAACGGACTCTCGGTATGAACAACCACCCGTCGCCCCGGGAGACTACAGCCCGGGAGTATATACGGACCCTGCAACGGCAACATACGGCCCAGAGCCGGTCCGTCTATACCGATAAGGGCCAAGATACGCTTCTCGATGGCTATTCGGAGCCGGAACTCCGGAGGATTGCTGAGAAAATGTGGGGCCAGACCGCCGAGACCCCGGCGAACACCGAGCAGTGCCTCCGAACGTTAACGGACCTCCTCCTTAGCCACTATATGCTGGCCCGGGGTAACGACCGTAGGGCGGCCGAGCTCTCGGACCTCTTTACATTCGAATTCCCCGGCGAAGGGCCGACCCAGTGTATGCCTCTGATCTTTACTACCCGCGCCGGGAAGACGAACCAACATGGCCGGCTCGAGACGGCCGGAGCACTTCGGAGCCGAGACCCCGGGATTTGCCTTCTCGGTACACTTGCCTTCTACCTCCTCTTCCGGTGGGACCTCTCGCCGGAGCCGTTCCCAGACTTCGGGAGCCCCCGGCGTTGGTATAGCACCCGCCTAATCAAGGCGGCCGGTGCCGATCCATCTACCGGGATCTCCTACAACACTCAACGGAGCTGGGTTAGCCGGGCTTTCGGCTATGCCGGTGTAGTCTCTGCAAAGAAGACCCACGCCGGGCGGAGCTCTGGGGCAAAGACCGCCGAGTTACGGGGCGTAAGCGAGGCACAAATCCGGCGTGCCGGGCGATGGAATCCGGACCAGATGGTTGGGTGTTATCTCGATGCACTACCCCGCAAGTTTATGCGGAGTATTGCCGGCCACCCGGCGCAGATGGGGTGTTTCAACCTACCCCGGGCCGTGCCGCCGCCGCCGGCGCTCCTCTCGATGATCTGGCCGGAGCTAGACCAATGGGCCGATAGTGCCCAGAAGCCGAAAGACCTGGCCGGTACGGGTGCCGTAAACCTCCTCATCTATCTCCGTGAGGTAGTCCTCCAGGACTCGGCATTCCTAATCGACCGGTACCCCGAAAGCCCAGTGTGGAACCACCCGGTCTTCCGGCATCCCGAATATCGGCCCTTTACACGCCGGGTACTCGCCCGGGCTAATGGCAACGAGGAGCCGGACCGGCTTACGCTACTTACACAGGCGCTCCCGCAGTTCACGGAGCATCTATTGACGGCAGAGGCACGGCATACAGCACAGCTTACGGAGGCAACGGCCACTCTAACTACCGAGATAGCCAGGCTAGAAGCCCGGCTTACAAGCAGTTATA